GGGGGGGGGGAAGTATTGACGTCAACACATTTCCCAATTCTGTGGCCCAGGGGAAAGGTCCCACTTCCCAGCATTCTCCATTTCTTTTTCCTTTCCTCTTCTAATGATTTTTCATTTCTGACGTAGGTTATGAAGATCGATAGCCAAAATCTGCCATCAGAAATAGGGAACCTTGAGTCCACCACCAGGTCCGAGGCACCTCTGGCGAAGAGGGTTGGATTTAACGCCTGACTCTGGACACCTTTGTGGAGAGGTGCAGAAAATAATGATTGGTCTGTTCGTCTGCATCTCTGCGTCAGACCCTTCCTGATTCAGGCACTTTTTTGTCCAATCATTCTCGCTAGCACGACCTCGCCTCCAGTGCATGGCAAGGCTGTGCCTTTTCGGTACCACCAGCCCACCCACACCAAGGGTCTCACCGCACGGCCCACGAAACGAAAACGAAATGAGTGCATCTGCCCACGACACGTGGCAAAATACACTCTTTACTATTTATAGCAAACCGATGAACCTGGCCATTTTCTGCGTGAAGATGCACTCATTTCATTTTTCTTCTGTGTGAAGATGCACTCATTTCATTTTTCGTTTCGTGTCCCGTGCGGCGATGCCCCATGTCGGAAACGTACATATAATCTCTTACCAGTAGTACTACCCATCCAAGGCGGCAGAGGCCCCGAATAGAAAGTCTGGTCATTATTGCTACTGTATCTAGACTGAAAGTTCCCCCAAATGCAGCTTTTTTTTTTTTTCAAAAGGACAAGCTCCATCTATTGGTGGGGAGCAGCACCTGCTGGAAACGGGGTCCAGTGTCCCATAGATACAACCATTCCCTTACTGATTGACACACACTGGGAACCGAGCCCAGCGTCCCATCCCGAGTAACTTCAGAAAATTTCATCGGGAACTTGCATGAAAATGGACAGCTAAGATCAATCTAAGAATCTGAGAACTTTTGACGAGATTTTAGAATTTCAAGAAAATCTGAACTAATCTAAGAACAGTTAGTTTCCTGCCGACTATTCCTGGCAACCCCCTACTCTTCCTCATCTCCCGACGAGCCGACCTCCTCCACCACATAGTTCGGAAGATAAGAAACAGGAGACAATCAACCTCCCAAAACCCATATGGTTAAGCGATGGACTTCAATTTTCGATCTCCCTTCGACGAGCCAACCTCCTCCACCACATAGTTCGAAGAGAGAGAAGATAATTAAAGTCCAATCAACCCTGCCCCCTGTCCCATGCTGCCACCGCCGAGCATGACCTCCTCGGCCCCAGCCTGGAACAACCCCCC